ATGATCTTATGCAACTGTTCTTAGCTAAAGGGTTGAGTAGAGTCTCCAATGTTGATATCAAGCATTTTTATGTTAACAGAAAAATGGTGGAGTACTGCTAAAAGAAGAAGATATTGCTGTTAGCAATGTCAGAATTGATTTGACTCGTGGAAGGCAGAATCCTCTTGAAAGGTATGGTGTTGGATTTGAAGACGTAAATATTTTCCTCGTTTTTCTGTGTTTAATCTGTGTATATAGTCTCTGATATTTTCGTTTCTGTTCTTTTTTTTTTTTCTCATTTCTACTCTTGCAGCATCAACTTTTTCAAGGTGCTGAAACTCACCTACCCTGATTTTTTTTCTTTCCTTTCCTGTTTTTATTCATTGCTGGCTTAAAATGTAAGGAACTTCTCACTTCATCCTTTTACTCAGTCTGCACTCATGCCTATACTCAAACTTTGGACTTCACCTTCCAAAAGGAAGAAGAAAACACTAAGATTTAATGACTATGGATACGTACAATAAAAATGCTGTGCTATTTAATGACTATGCAAACATGAAAAGTGGACCTATATCAGCTGCATAAGAGACTGGAAATTCCTAATATTTTGCGGTTTGGATCTTATTAAAGGTGAGCAAAACCTATCTAGACTAAGTACTCATCCAAACTAAATGCGATTTGAATAAAACGGTTCGGTCTAATTAGTCCATTGGATCAATTGGTTCAAAATATTTGGTCTAATTGGTTTTTTTATCAGTTTTTTATTTTAAAATTTTGGAACCAATCCACTTAAAAAATCAAATTAATTTTTTATATATTTATATATATTAAGAAAAATTGCTAGGAAACTTAATTAATAATACATCTAAAATATATTAAGGTATTATATGTATATATACAAATTATAATCATAACAATTTAATATTAATTATATATATTTATTTATAAAATTGTATTAATATAAAATTACAAATTATATATTTTAAATGATATAACTTATTTGCTAATATTATAATATATGATAGTAATATCTTACATATTAATATGTTATAATTATTACACTTTAATAATATTTTGTAATATAAATTGTTCTGAATATATTTATAATTGTATAAATATATTATATATACATATATTTAATTTATACCGAAGCATTACTATAATTTATGATAAAGTTTATTTATATGATTTCAATGGGTAACTTTATTAGTTATCATTTTAAATTTTATAACATATTGTTTGTAATTAGTTATTTATACATTTGATATAAAATATTTAAATATATAATTTATATCATTAATTGTATATATATAATAAAGTAATATATGATATATATATTTAATTTATACATAAGTATTATTATAATTTATAATAAACTTTATTTATATGATTACACTTAATAAGTTTATTAACTATCATTTTAGATGTTGTAACATATTATTTATTATTAGTTATTATTTATACAAATTTTGATATAAAACATTATAATATAAGTTATATCATTAATTTCATATATATAATTATGGATAAAATTTATAAGTTTTAATATTATAATTTATAAAAAAAATGTGATAAATTTTGGTTTATTGGTCCAATACCGGATCAATCAAACCAATTTTATGTTTGGTCAGTTTGATATTTTTTATATTTGGTCGGTTTTGATCGGTTGTTTAAAAATGATTCATTTATTTAGTGTTTAAATATGGTGGATCAAACCATCTAATTCGCTCATTTGCTCATCCTTAATTGGGAGACAGTTTAAGCATCTTATATAATTTCCTTTGGAGGTGCAGCTTTCTGACAGAATTAATCTCTGGCCAGGATTATGAGAGTGAGGAGAAGTTCCCCATACCAGATGGTCGCATCAGTCACTTGCTGCCTACATCTTATCAGGATATGATAGTGAGGGTGTACTCCAAAAAACCTGAATTGGTCTGTGAATCCAAATGCGATTATTGTTTGTTTGTTATTTCTCTTTTTCTTTATTCTGTTCACACTAACATCTACTTTTTAATCTACTAATGAGCAGGTAGCAGCTGTCTCAGAGGCATTTGAAAATTTTCAACTAAAAACTTATGGAGTTAAAGCGCAAGTGCATGCTACACCAGAGAAGAAGAAACGGCGCTTGTGAGGTTACGTTGATTGTTTCTCCTTGTAGTCCCCTCTTGTCGAAAAATATATAGAGCATATTTTCATTTGCCACACAAAATAAATACAGTTCAAAAGTTATACACTAAATGTGTTGTGCAGTAAATGATATTAGTTATTTTAGTTTCCCCTCAACTTGGAAGAAAGAATCATACTGACATCAGATTAACCATTTTGTATAGTTGGTCATTTGTTATTGGGGATTTTGTATCAACTGTCCTTTTGCTGCATTAGGAAAAGCGTATGTTTCCAAGCTATCAAACTTACTGCTGTCCTGGTACCATGGGTTTATTGATGTACACAGGGTTCAAGGTGTGCTATTTATGTTACTCTCTGCACTTTCGAGATGAAGTTTTGACATTGTTCCATGAGAATTTTACTTTAATTTTACTGTTGAGCACTTGATAAGCGCAATGTCGAGTTTTTTGGTAATGTTCAAGACTGTTTGGAAATGTCAATATCTGATAAATTTTAGTAAATGGAATGGTGCACTCCAACTTTCACCAGGTAAGAGTATACTCAGAATTCCATGTCTAATTGAACATTAATTTCTGCACGATGTTGCAAGGAAAAATTTCTAGAAGATGATTGCTTAGGGATGCTTCTCATACGTATTCGTGTGTATTGCTTCTGTAGATGGGAGCACTCTATTTTGTTACACATACAACTACAATTTGGTATGTGAGACTGAGAGCTGCCATCGAAGGAGCTTTACAAGAGTATCTGGTAAGGATTTTCTGTCGGTACTATTATTATCTTGTGGTCCTTTATTATATGTTCAAGTGTTCTTCGGGGCAAATTATTAGATACATCTAGTAAAACGAGTCCTGGGATTTGTTTGACTCTTGGGGAAAATGATGAGGCCCTGGAGGCCTTGACAGTCAAAATCACGGGCATTACTGGATGGTCTCTAATTATTTCCGAGTTCCCTTGAGGAAAATTGGTGAAACAATTGGGCCTCTGGTCCCGTGACCATCTCCTCTACAAAACACCTCTTTGCTTTTTCTGATGCTTGCATTAAGTCAATAAAGGCGGAACTTCACGTGCTTGATGATGTTTGAGCAGCGCAATGAATAGTGTTTAATTCATGGGAAAGATACTGCTTTGGGGGGTCAATGTCCTTGCTTTCTTTTGGTTTTATCTCCATCTGCCGCCCTTCTTCCTCCATCCTCAAGGACCACGGCTGACAGTTAGATATTTTAGGGGGCTTAATCTATATCTAAGTTGAATTTTTGCAACATAATAATTACTCATACAACTTTATAACTATAAAATCTTGTTTGTCAATGCATGATTCATGCTACATTAGCTTAAGCTTTTTCCTTCTCACCTATAGTTTTTTTTTAATATTATTTTAAGTTCAGTTAGTAGTTAAATGCTACTTAAAAATTGGAGGCCATGCACTGCTCCCCCACATAACAGCATCTTATTATTATTATTATTATTATTATTATTATTTTGGTTCCCAATAAATGGCATCTTAAGTATTGTACCCCAGTGAAATGGCATCTCAATTTTTGTTAAATGAAGAAAAAGAATATATTAAGTCATGAATTCTCCCTACTTTATTTTCCAGGTCAAAATTCGGATGATTACTCTGTCCAAACCAATGGCATCAAAGCCCCAAAAACATGAAAAATCATTAGGTTTTAGGTTCTATTCCTGGATTGCACGGAGAGTACTGCTTAAGGCCCCATCTCGCTTTTGAACATTTTCTTGATACCCAATAAACTTTGTTCTCAAATGAAAACAAAGGGTCACCTCTTTACTTACAAAAAACAGAGGCCAACCAGAGTGTTCCTCAAATAACCCATCTCCTTCCCCTTTGTTTATAGGTTTCATTTTCTTATTTGGTTTTTTTTTTCTTAAAATAGAAGTTTTTGTAGTGTGCAATCATGGAACTGAACTTCCCATTTTTAGCAAAAGATTGGTAAACACTTGACCCACCCCGAAGGGTATTATTGTTCACTCTTTTCTTGTTATCCAATCAATATCCGACAGCTCTTCGATTCTTAATTCAAATTAAAAAAAAAAAAAGAAAGAAAATAATGGACAAGCATTTCATGGTATAAAACTATAAATCACTTTGTGAAGGTTTAATAATTGACTTGTCTAAAATCCAACAGATGGTTTGAGACACAAGCAGCAGTGCTGATGTGGCAGCATATGGTTGTTTCTCTCATCGACTCTAAAGGATGAAGCTATGTATAAAGTTAAGTGATATCTTCTCTCTAATCTATTATGAAATGTTATGCATGTAGGCAAGAGTCCTCACATGCAAAGCTAGCCGACTAGTCTTGCAGCTAACACTATTCTTTTCCCACAAATAAAATTTGGAAAACAAAATTTCAAATGCCTTTAAAGAAGATGATATTTTCTTTTTTGTTTTCAATTTTCAATTAAATGCTATTTATTCCCTTGAGCAATAAATAATAAATCTTATGATATTAATAAGAGATAAGATTGTTTTTTTTATAAGATTTACTCATTTAGATATTAATATTTATTCTTTTACACCCAAAATAAGACATAATGTTACCCTAAAAACGGCAACCATTTAATAGTCTTGAGGGTAACTTTCGATGCCAAAACTTGCGTGAACAACACACTCTTTTTTTTCCCTTTTGATAAGGCATGAACTACAACTCTTAAATACCCAAAAGAATATAAAAAACATTATCTTCTCTTAGTATTCTGTTATGACTAAACTAATCCATATATATATATATTTATTCGAGAAATGAGGACAAAATTATCATAACTACAATCTTATCTTCTCCCTAAAAAATTTCTAGATAAAAATGATTTACTTTAAAAAAAATTCCAACCCAATTCTTTGATTGTTGAATGAGATGTTTAGATATATTTAATTATGAGATTTAGATAATTTTTTTGTATTTTAAACTTTATTGGTTATTAATAATTGGTTACGTAAAATTTACATGGATTTGGCTTAATGATATTGTATTTGAAACTACTTAAAAAGAAGTATTTAAAATAAATTCTATAGTGTTAATGTCATTGTCCACAAGAAAAAAGAAAAGTTGAAACAAATGAGGGAAAAAAATCAAACACTTTACGAAGTCCATTGTAACTGTGAGCAGTAGGAACAGGAGTATCGTCCCAGCATCATGAGAAAATGAGAAGTGAAGAAAGGGACAGTTTAAGTTTCACTTACAACACAACCCAAAATACATATAAAAAAAAAGAAAGTACATTTGACCGTGAATCCCATAAAACATAAGTACTTAAAACAAAAAGACAACCAAACAAAGCAAGAGGCCACGAGAGAGAGAGATACAGAAACAGCAGAAGAAGAGAAGAAAGAAGCAGGAGGAGCAGAAACAACAACAGCCAGCAGTAACACAAGAAAACCAAAAGTGGGTCACAGCAACACACGTCGTCTTCAGGCAAAATCCATGTGCCCACATGGCTGTTTGTGAGTTTTGAAGGAAACAAATAAACAAACAAAAAAAACCCCAACTTTTTTTATTACTTGTTTTTCCTTATATTTTAATATATATACATATACATGAGATTGTCATTGAGTTTTAGTTTTTAGTATAGATTTTGGACAGAGAGACCCAGAATCAGAAGTAGCTCAAACAAGAATAGAAAGTGAAGAAAAACTAAGGAAAAGGTTTCCTAAAATTGTTCCTTTCTTCTTCTTCTTTTTTTTTTATTTTTTGCTGGTTTTTGAGAGTAAAGTTGTGATTTATAGTTGGAGTTGAGAAGATGAAGGAGAAAAGTGAGAGTGGTGGAGGAGGATATGTAAGAGCAGATCAGATAGATCTGAAGAGCTTGGATGAGCAACTCCAAAGGCATCTTAGTAGAGCATGGACGATGGAGAAGAACAAGAACAGGAAAGAGGAAGGAGAGGAAGGTGGTGGAGGTGGAGAACAGCTAAGGCCAAGCAACACCATGAGAAGACAAGAGTGGGAGATTGATCCTTCTAAGCTTATCATCAAAGGTGTCATAGCTCGTGGCACTTTTGGTACTGTTCACCGCGGTATTTATGATGGCCAAGATGTTGCTGGTACTGATTTTTTTCCTCTCTTTTTTCTGTTTAGGATATGTTTCTGAGTACCCATTTCCTGTTGAAACAATGAACTTTTTTCAAAATGACGTTTTTTTTTTAATTTTTGTTCATTTGGTTTATAATTGTAAAACACTGAAACTATAGATTTCACTCATTTTTCTCCTTCTCTTTTGGTTTCTGTGAAAACCCACTAAGGAATTAACTTTCTGTGCATGATGAAGTGTTACATGGAGTTACATTAGGCACTCAAGATAAAGCTGTCACTTGAGGCCTTCTTGGTTGGGAGGTTAAACAAAATGAAACTGTTAATTTGATAATAGGCAGTGGTGTTTAATAGTAAATTTCGTAATTTGGTTTTTATTCCTCCACCACTGCTGACCAACGTTGGAGAATCTCAATATCAATAGTATTATCATTTTTATCATAGTGGCTTTCTGAGATTTGCAGTGGTGGAGTTGAATTTTAAGGGTGTTTTGTGGCTAGCATGTTAGGGGATCAAATATTTTAATGTTTCTAAACTCTTCACCTTCTGTTTTAATAATCTTATTTCAATTGTTTCATTTGTTTGGTTGTTGAGAAAATGCAGGCGAAAAGAAACCAGAACTTTGAATCTTCAAATTTAAATAAGTTGGTTATAAGAACAACAACAATTCCCATGCATACACCTAATACTGGAATGAGTTTTTCCCTTCTTAATAGTAAGCAACATGAAACATCTATCTTTATCATAATTTCTATCTGCTTCCCAGATTTTTAAACTACAAGAGGGCAAAATGATTTGCTAATGTGGCAATGATTTCCTGTTATGTGAATCTGTTAATTTTCACAAAGCAGTTTGTGATCGAAACTTGTAGATCTAGCTTCTGGAAATCTGTGATTCACGAGATTTTTTGAGGTGGCAGTTAGTTGCACTGCTGCAGTGACTTATATGATGTTATTCTTTTTTCTAACCTTTCATGTGGCCTAATTTATTATTGATATGCACTCATCTTTTTTCTTTACTTTTTGGATATAAAAGCTAGAAAACTTAAAGAGCCTCATTGACATTGTGAACTTTCATGTTCTGGCTAGCTATAAAGTTGCCAAATGGACCTTATCTCCTCTACTAGAAAAAAACACCACCCAAGTATTTTCAGTGAGCTACACAGACTTAAATGCCTCATTAATCTATGACTAGATTTGGGACCATCAGATTGCTTTTTGATTGATCATAAGGACACTTTATTTGGTTATTATTTTTTCTATTGTACTTTATGATTTTCACTTGCTTTTCTATTAATCTATGTGTGAATAATACAAAGAGATGCTGGGCCTTTGCTTATATGTTTTGTAACTACTTTTTTCTTCCATCATGCTTAGTTAAACTCCTTGACTGGGGAGAAGAGGGCCACAGATCAGAGGCTGAAATAGCTTCACTTAGAGCAGCTTTTACACAAGAAGTTGCTGTGTGGCATAGACTTGATCATCCTAATGTAACAAAGGTAATGTTTCTTAACTTCGATAATTACCTTTTTCAGGTTTCTTCACCCTTTTCCACATCCCTGCAATCAAACTAAATTAGCCTAGTATAATATGCTAGCAGGACAAGGACTGGATCATGATCCTTTCCTCACTCTTCTTGACCCTAATCCTAAAACTTGCATGTTTAGACTTTGGTGCATAAGCTTTTGGTTAGTTCATTTCATCTTGAGGGTTGAAGTTTGAAGCAACAGTAAATACTAACTAGTTAAGGAACTTTGTTTCCACATAATGATATTACTGGGAAATTTGTGTAGCATTTGATTTCTTTATATGTTTCGTGTACACCTATCACAGTTCCAGATATTGTCTCTCTGATTTTACTCTTTTAAGTATGTCAATTGGGTAATAAGGATGTTGACAACAGTGTGGGGATATATCGGATATGTGAGATCTGATGCTGACCCGAACACATACACTGTAATATGGGCATTATGGCATCTGAAGCCTCTTTGTTATATTGGTTGGATACTTGTTTTTGTCTTAATCTGTGTGCTAAACTTCTCATGCAGTTTGTAGGGGCAACAATGGGCTTGTCAGAGCTGAACATACAGACGGAAAATGGTCATCTTGGCATGCCAAGTAATGTTTGTTGTGTTGTTGTTGAATATTGTCCTGGGGGTGCACTGAAATCTTACCTGATAAAGAATCGGAGAAGGAAGCTGGCCTTTAAAGTAGTTATTCAACTGGCACTAGATCTTGCACGAGGGTCAAATTCCTGTTCCTTATCTACACTCTTTTTGTTTTTTTTAAATCTATAATATATGAATCATATTCAAATTGTAACTTGTAATTTAAATTAAAATTCCCCTTTATCATTTGTGTTGACACTGTTGCTTTGAATGCTTTTTAGGTTGAGCTATCTTCATTCCAAGAAGATTGTCCATAGAGATGTCAAAACAGAAAACATGCTTCTGGACAAGACACGTACTGTGAAAATAGCTGATTTTGGGGTTGCTCGCCTTGAGGCTTCAAATCCTAATGACATGACTGGAGAGACTGGAACACTTGGTTACATGGCCCCAGAGGTACACAGCTTATATGCTTTTATATGAGTTTTGCATATCTCTTTGTCTCTCTATCCTTCTGGCTTCTGAATGATGGTATGTTGAAATTCAGTTGGGTCTTAAAATCTAGCTCTCTCTCTAACCTGTTTGGAATTATGGTCTCCACAAGAATTTAAAACGCATTTTAGAACTTTTCTTATTTGCATTTATTTATTGAGGGGTTCTGTAATCAAGCTGTTGAAGAATATGCATGCCACCCAATTTTTGGGTTAATTCTTAGAACTGATATACTTGGGTAGCACCGTTTCTGAAGAGCATAGTTTATGGATCTGCTCTGCTATTGAAGTTGTTATACCAGCCCTAGAAAAGAGAGATTGGATCTGTGACTTGATAACTTTTTGGTATATGTTATTGGTGTTTTCCTACAAATTTGACCCTTTCAAGCATGAGTATCTGAACCAGAGCCGAAATTTCTTTATATAGCATAGTTTGATACCACTGGCTTAGCTTTTCCCTGAAGGGACATATATACCATACATGGCAGCAAGGCAGTTAGTTGAGGCTCATTTTACTAGAATTATCAGATGTAGGGTCTTCAGTCTGAATTATGGCAGCTACTGTCAGATACTTGGCTTGTTCTAGCAAGCATTTTTGCATATTTAGAAACAATTTAACTTTCTTTTGGGCGTTTGGACTGGGAGGGGAAAAGAAGGAAAAAATGGGGTAGATTCAAGAAGCTCAAAACATTCTGTTCATGTGGATAGTCACTGGTAATTCAGCTTTGGTTAAATGAGATTTATACATGCTGACTTCTTACAGCATCAAATCATTTGTATCTAACCTATCATCTGCCGTTGATCAATTGAAATGGGACAGGTCCTTAATGGCAATCCCTACAATAGAAAGTGTGATGTGTATAGTTTTGGTATCTGCTTGTGGGAGATATACTGCTGTGACATGCCATATCCTGATCTCAGCTTCTCAGAAGTGACATCTGCTGTTGTCCGCCAGGTAAATAATTTGATCTCAGATGATATTCTTGGTTGCGAAAACTATGAACTAGGATGATGATTCTATATGAATTGTACATTAAGGACAGATACAACAGCTCTTAGTAATACTCCATTGTGCGGTTTTTTTTCTACTCTCGACAGTTCCAAAGGTATTTGAGAAATATATAAGTGATAGCTGATAACATGGATTTTAAAATGACAGAATCTGAGGCCGGAGATACCTCGTTGCTGTCCGAGTTCTCTTGCAAATGTAATGAAGCGATGTTGGGATGCCAACCCTGACAGACGGCCGGAGATGGATGAGGTGGTGTCCATGATAGAGGCTATTGACACATCGAAGGGCGGAGGCATGATCCCGCACGATCAGCCTCAGGGTTGTTTGTGTTTCCGGAGATATCGCGGACCTTGATATTGTTACACCCCCTTGAATCGACAGATGCTTTCAGGGTAGAGTCCAATTTATTCATATTTAATTGAATTGGAAAGATGGCAATGTAAGAGCTGAAGGTAGGAAATTGTGGAGTTTATGCTTAAAGAAATTCCGCAATATCTGCTATTCGAACATGCATTTTGTAAAGCTTTTCTTTCTTTTTCTCTTCCCCCTCCTTTCTCCTCCTTCATTTAAGAGTACTCTGTGTCTTGACCCACCGGCCAGTTGTATAACAGATGGGCTACACACACTCACAGAAGCTTTGATGTCCCCATTAAGATGATCACTGGCTTATCATCTATCTGATATCGAGCATGCAAGAAAAGCTCTTCCTAATAGCTTTTACAAATGCTTAAAGCTAATGATAATATTATTATTATTTTCAAAATTTAAATAAATTATTATTATTTATTTATATTTAATTAATTTTTTATATTTTTATTATAAATTAAATAATTTTTTATAATTAATAATTAATTATTATTAATAATTAAAATATTATATATAATTTCATATGTTATGTGATATTGATGTGAAAAATAAATAAATTAATAATTATTATATTATATTATATTATATTAAGCTGTTATGTTATTATTTATTATTATTATATATCAATATTGTATGATATAAAATAATAAATATTATTTTGATTAAATTAATTATTAATTATTATTATATGAATTTATATAATTTTAAATAAAATTACAAAAAATTTATTAAAAAAATTTAAATTTTTTTTAAATATTATGCTTCACTGATACAACAAGCATTTCGTACGATATCCTTTTATCACATCTGATTATACTGGAAAGGAAAATGAGAATGTCCCTCTTCAGGATGCCAGTACATTATTCAAAGAAGAACACATTCCCAGCGGGAAATACCATAATTCTGGTCAAATTGAAAGATTACAGAATGAATTGAACCCCATGAAGCCTTACTGTTTTATTATAAATTTGTCCCCGCACTACAAAAAGAAGTTCTAGCCAGCTATCTTATAACTTGGATTGACTAGATTATCCAGGCCAGATACCACTTGAATTGACTCTATAACATCACCAACCTTGAGATCGGCCAAAATATCCTGATTTTCTGTCACATAACCGAACACTGCATACCGGCCGTCCAATATATTGGCATTACTAGGTGTTAGCTCACTTTCTTTTAACAGCCAGAATACCTGGCTCGAGGCGGAATTATCCTCGAACTCCTGCCAGAAATAAGAAAGGGACAGTCACAGAAAAGTGATAACAAAATACCGGAAAAACAAAGTTTGAATTTTGAATTCTCACGTCTCTGGCCATTGCCATGGTTCCAAAAGCATTGAAGGGGAGTTTTGTTTGAGCCTTGTATAGACCAAGCTCCTGTGGGATCGCAAATAGCCAACTCTTTTCAATTTTGATTAAAGTGTTGAATTGATACAGTTTTTATTTTTGTTTCGGTCTAAACTTTGATATGAGAGAAAAAGAAAGCTTACCTCCAGCGTTGCTCCATAGAAAGGTGCTTTCTCCCCATTCACCATGATTTCTAACGGTATTGTCCGGGTTTTCTCAGTACTAGGATCAATAAAACCCTGTGCAGGACCTTCAGGATCTCCAGTTTGAACAACGAACCCATCCGCTGCAGCAAATCCAAGGGGAGGTGTAACTAAAAGTCTAAGTTTATCTTTCAAAATGGCCTAATACTAGAAGTAATTAGCTTAGCAGTCAATTTGATGTTGATAGTAACAATTGGAAAAGAGTCTGCAAACTATCACCACACTATCATCAATGCTGCTTGGATTTTACACTATTAGACATGCTACAAATCAGCAAAGATCTGGATCTCAATAATAATTAAAATGTGTTAAATAGCTGATTCTATTTTGTTCATGCTAGAACAAATCAAAAACCATAATAACAGAATGATCTTTGAAAAGCTTCGGTATTCCAAAGGCAGCCAGCAATCTTTTGAATATTTTTCCACAACCCACGAAACTAGGAACACACCAAAGCAAAAATAAAAGTTACCTCTCTGAATTTCCATGCCATCATAGAAGCGCCTTTGCACCAGGTCAACAAAATTCCCTGCAGTTACCGGGGCATTATACCCATCCAAAACAATATGGAACACACACTCCTCTAGATTAGGATTGTCCTTGACTTTGACCTTCATATCCACAGCTGCCCTCCCCTTCAAAAGAGGCAAACTTTGATATTCTTCAGGTACTTCATATGGGAAGCCATCCACCATATCCTCTTCAACACTGCAGAAATCCAATGCCCCAGGAACATCTCAGCTGCAGTCAATGACAAGGTATCTATGAGAATTATTTATTTTAAGAGGCTTAACTTTTAAGTCCTTCCCAACTTTTATGATGAAAGTATGATACAGTTTTTAACGCATTATGAGCAGCCCACTGAACCTTTGCAAGCCAAAAACCTGTATGTAAATTTTGTTAGTTTAGCATTTTTCACTGACTTGCGCCTTTGCTTGGTGCCAACTGCCGCGGCACGGTTCATATATGCTTGTTTGTCATAGTGACTACACAGGCTTGCAGTTGCAGACCTTAACCCATTTTGGTGCACTTCTTATACCCCAGACAAAAGCAGAGCGATGGAATTTTGCCTTACACCTTGAGCAAGCATTAAAACTTGACCACTATATGACAGACACACAGGATTTTAAGCAAACTACAGATTATGTCTCACACCTTGAGGGACTGCGCTTAGAAACATAAAGGGACAAATAGAAATCAAGGCTAACTTCATATGTTGGCAACTAAGAAACCCTACCATATACAAGGATCATTTTGAGTTGATTTTGAAGAGCTGCTGGAAATTAAAGCAATATTTGTTGTTTGATACCCACTCTTGGTGGAAGGGTGTAAAAATTAATCAGAAGGAAGCTATCTTCAGCTCTATGCTTTAAAAGTTTTATTGAGATACTCACTCTCCAACATATTGAAGCAGCTCCCTCTGTTTAGGTGCCACTGCATCTCTATCCCTATCCTCCACAATCTGTTGTAGTTCATCCATCCCGACTTCCAGCTTGTCAAGCAATTCCACCCCATGTTCCTTCTTTGTTTCAGATAATCCCGCAATAATTAAAGTTTTCCCCTGCTTTAGGGCTCGGGATGCTTGCCTCACATTCTATATTTGATACAAAGACAAGGCCTTAGTTATTATGAGTGCAATTGCTAAATCTATTACCAGAAGCATATATAAATATCAGATTCCTAGTTCATGTAAAAGCCCGAGGAGTCTTACTCTCTCAACAGAATCAAGAGCCTTGACACCAGCAATCTTGAGACTCTCAGTTATATCCTCAAGCGGTTTTTGTACTTCTCTAACAGCTTTATTGTTAATTGGCAGTGCATTTCTCAACAATACTCCAGGGTCCTTTATTGGAGGCCCAGAGATTAAAACAGACAAATCGGGCAACGCAGGACTAGCTGCATAAGCATTAGGAGACCAATCCAATGATGGCATTCCAGTTATCAGCCCGGCCGCCAAAACAATGGAGACTGCACATTCCTTCAGAGGAAATGACCTCCCTTTCTGCTCCAAAACCAATATTCGTAACACATCAATTGCATCAAAAACCAAATCTTTACCCCAAAAAAAAAATTCTAACTTTATCATTCCCTTATATATCTTCATATAATTCAAAGCAATAACATCCACCATTCATACAATGTGATCAAATTCATACAGAAAAAATACTTGCACTCCCTAATGATTCATATACATCAAATGCTAAACCCCCCAAAACAGCATCATAAATTCAAGCAATATAAAACAAAAAAAGAAAAAGGAAAAGCCAACCTGCCCATCTTGAAGGTGACATTGAACATGCTTCTGGGAAGGACATTTGGGCAGCAACTGCCTATTCAACCAAGAACTACTCTTCTGAGTCCTTAGAAAGCTTGTACCTTTGGTGGGTATTCTTGGATTAACCCATTTAGAGGCAGCTAAAGAAAAGTAACAGTTGCAAGAGATAATAGCTGCCATTTTAAGAGGTGAGAAAGGACATATACTAATTTCGAAGGTTCAAGAATAAAAATGGGCAATGAGATTTGGTCTACAGAGTTGAAGTCTTAGAGATGAAGAAAAGATAAGGTTGGTGGGTTCCGACAGGAAATAAATAAATGTTGGCTAATACTAGTAGTAACTATTACCAAGGATCTATTAGGATATGCTTCAATAGGGGTCATCCTCACGCTCTGGATAAGATTTGTTTATTGGATTTTGGATCTCTCTCTGTCTCTCATCTTTTTTATTCTATTCTCTTTGTACTGCAATGTGCAGCGTGCTTGTGCCGTAGCAGTACTGGACTACTGTTATTTTGGCATGGGGATGGACTTTATTGCCCAGCTCATTGTAGGCTGAATCCACCTTTGGCATTGGGCTTTTGGCCTACTACAGTGATGCAGAGAGGCCAATCCTGCCGGTGGGGTTGCCATTATTGGAAGATCCAGTGGCCATTTCCTAGCTTTTTGTTGACAGGTGGTCGTGTATTTCATAGAGCCTTGCCTCCATTTCCCCACATTTTCAAGGAGGCAATGCCGTGAAATTGCTAGTCAGGGATGAGAAGGGGCATCGGGTGGCCTTCTATTTGCTGCATTAGGAGAAAAGGCTGCAAAAAACCTGTAGCATAAGGGTTGGGGAGACTTCGTTCTGCTCAAATATCGTAGCATTGGAGATAAAAATGGCGTTTCATGAAGATGGAATTAAGATATTTAGTGCAAATTTTGCTTGTTCAACCTATAGTGTTGAAACTCAGAGAATCACAAGATGTAAATTATTAAAAGAAGAGAGTAGCGGCACCTCTCCAAGGAGCTGGTCAAGCCAGTTCCAGCACCACCATCCACTGAATGAAGGGATTCATGGGAAGGGGGTATTGCATTAGGCTTAGAGTAATTTACCTTAACATTCCTATTTAGTTATAGTTTCTGATTTGACACTTAAATTTAAAAAACATGAATGATATATTCTTGGTTTACTATTGAACCATTAAAATTAACATATTAACATTTTAATATTTCACGTCATTATTTTATATTAAGTTATAAATTCAAATCATCATATCCTCACTTCATCTTATTGTGTTATATTATTTTATATTACATAATAATAATGTGATATAAAATGATCACATAGACATGCCACCCTATCATAAGATGATAATGTGAAATTAATATAAGAGTATAAATCTATTAATTAATAGTTAATGAGTGATAATTAATAATACATCAATTATGTAACATCAATGATCCAAATGTGACATATAATAATAATTGATATTAAAAATAATTAAAAACCTTGTCATAAATAGGGCTTCCTTAAGATTTACGTAAACCAGCTAGCAAAAATGGAAAAAGTTTCTATAACCCATACTGGTATCTCAAAACTTGGCTATCCCAACAGATGGTCTTGTCTCTTTGGAGCAACATTTCCATGGAGTTGGTAGCTAGGGACAGGGCGGAGCGTCCCTTTATCATGCCGCCCCCCTCCCAACAAAATTTTGAAATTTTTTATATATTATAATATTTTTAATAATTTTTTATTAAATAATTAATATAATTAAAAAATAATAAAATAATTTACAAACTTTATTCAATTTTACTCAAATTCTTAATTTTTTTTTTTATTTTAATTTCTCTATCATTTTTCCTTTTCTTTTCTTCCTTATATTGTGAAATTATAAAAAAGTAAAATTTTATTTATTTATTTATTATTTCAATTTTATTCTATTTGCTCATATATTTTAAGTTTCTATATAATTTTCTCTTTTAAATTTCTACAAATCATTAATATATTCTTTTTTTTTATTATTTAGGTTATATCTCCTACTTGTCATAATTTTTATTTTCTGTTATGTGATTTTATTTTTTGATTTTAATTTTTAAAAATTAAAAAATTATTGTATATTAATTTCAAATATAAGTTTTAGTGTTACATTATTGGTTATTTTTAAAATTTTACTAATATATTATTTTATTAATTCTAATTATATAAGAAAAATTATTTTGTTTAATGTCTTTACGTTTTATATTTAGTTGAAAGGAAATTATCTTGAGTATAAGAAAAATTATTAATTATATATATCGTATTTAACAATTTATATTTTATGCATTATAGTTTAAATTTAGTATATTAAACTTAAATATAATAAAATAAAAATATTAGATATTAACTATATTAATTTTTAGTCCTTATATGATAAAATAAAACTTCAAACAAAATGAATGATAAGTTTTATAAATAATTTTAGTTATTTATATTAAAAGGATATTGCCATTTCGAATAAAATTTTCCTAGAGTACTATTATAATTTTTTTTTATTTTTTTATTTACATGTTATATAAAATTATTATTTATTATAAATTTTTTAATTATTAATGGTTAATTCAATATATTAATTTTAAAAATTTTTAATTTTTATTTTTCTTAACATTTGACCTCTCTAATAAAAATTGACTAATTCCGTCCTGCTAGGGATGAGAGTGGTTGTCAAAAACCCATTTGTTTGCTCCATTTCCATGAAGAGGCCATAGAAAAACTAGTGTTTCAACCAAAGGGATGGCCAAGTTTTGCCCTCGATGCACCCATTTGGAAGAAGCTCAGCTGTGCTTATGCCTAGTCATTCCCCAGAGTAGTGGCACAACCGCACCAAGGAGCTGATCAATCTAGCGCCGCAGGCAGCTGCTGCACCACTGCCAGCGCCAGCAGCAGTTGCTATTGACAGTACTACAACAAGAGAGTAGGTTTTTGGCAATCTCATATTATAGCAATTATGATTATTATTGGAGTCGATAAAGAAGAAAAATAATAAGAAATTCAATAGGGCAAAACAGATGAGGTAAGATTTTAATTTCTTTATATACAAAATCCTTAGCAAAACCCTTCAAAGTACTAATATCCAAATTAAGCAAAAACCCAAAATCCATTGCCGGTAACATAAACCAACCGAGAAAATCTCCATCCCATCTACTCAACACAAAATTGAAGTCCTACTCCTATTCACACATTGGGAAAAAAACAAAAGAACAAAGTAAACCGGAAAAGAAATATCTAAATTGTCCCCTTTAATTTGGAACTGCAATTATCTTCCTTTCCTTCATAGCTTTAGACTGAACTCTGGTTAGAGAGCTGAAGCTCTGACTGCTTTCCATCTTCTTTGGTATCGCGTTTCCCAAGGAAGTAGTAGTAGGAATATAAAATGAGCTGCATAAGGCCAAACACTGCTCCAAGGCCGTTGCTTATCTGCAAAGGCATAACAAAATAGTTAATGGGAGTGTAAGAAGGAGAATTTCATATTCAAGATTACTACCGTGGTCAACAATTAGCTAAAGCTAGTTTTACCAGGATGAACACGTCAAGCTGGATGAGGGCATACAGACTCCAACAGCAACCATTAGCTAAGCTGGCCACTGAGAGCCAGAACGGCATATACTCGACGCTCTTTGTGTTGATAACCTTTCTCTGTTAAACACAAGAAAGAGAATATTAATATTAATCTACAGTATTCATCATCAGATATATATATATAGTTCAATTCACCATGGAGATATATATAGTCTTAGTACAGTAACAGCGATGGTGAAGGAAATGGAGTTGAGGAGAGAGACTGTACCCAGACGGCAAGAGGTGAGGCATACATTATGATGTTAAAGACAACACATATAACCCCAACGAAAATATCCCTGTTCTTAAACTCGAAGGCCAGCATAGCGATGACAACCACGATTACTGTCAAAACTGCTTCACCAAGAACGAAAAGGCCTACATGAACCTGAGAAAATAGAGGATTTATTAAGCACAAATTAGAAACTTTTGAAGCCAGACACAATCATTTTTTGAACCTGGACTAATTAATATAGATCAAATAGGTACATATATAGCATCAATCAGTTATAGTAAACCAAACATGCTGCCTTGACTTTTGATGCGTATGGTACTTCAAAAGTGTTTCAGACTAAGAGTACTGATTCGCTAAGGATAACTACATGGCAATGGCAGCAAAACCCAAAATCTGAAAACCCTCATCCTAAGTTGTACCAAATATTGACGCGAACGTGCAATCTAACATACATACTCATCCTAAAATTCTAGCAATATTGATGCCTACGGAAATCTAGCATGCCAAGGGCCATTACTTATATAGAGATATGCCAGATTATGACAACAACAGGAAATTAAGTATAATACCCGCATATATATAAATTCATGAAAATTAAAATGTTAGCCCAATAGGGATGCATAAAATTATTATATATTAAGCTAATTAGTTAATAATAGAGTGGTTATTGGTTCATACCCTTTTCTTCCGATCATTGGCATAAATGACAAATATGGTTAAGTAGATCAACTCTATGACAAAGCCGATGGTGTTGATGGTCAAGACCAGAATGTTGTCCTTGCGAACAATGGGGAGACCATAGAACATCCAGAAAACGCAGTTGAGAACCGTGCACAAGTAAGGATATGGCTGGAACTCCTCCACCGCCTTCTTCTTATGGATTCGGTAGAATGTTGGCCTATATATATATACATAACAACAACAAGAATATATATGCTTCAATCCAATAATCATTCTATACGTATTCACAATATTTATGAAGAAATAATCAGCATTCTATATATATACTTTAGATTTATAAAAGCATCAAAAAAGACTTAAATATCACTTCTCAAACCATACAATTTGTTAAAAAAATATTTATTTATGATAAAATAACACTAATTCAGAAAGGACTTATATATACTCAATTTGATACTAATTAAATTATAAATTCATTTATATATAAAGAAAACACGTGTATCTTTCAAGATAAAACCATAAAAAGGAAGAATGCATATATACTTATCCGTTAAATCAATGACTAATTGAATGCTTATCTCCATATTATTCTTATAAATAATTACATTAATTAGCTAAGCTAAGATATGTGTCCCAATTAATATCAAATCATCTATTCATTTCAAGTAATGTAAGATTACAAAATTAAGAATAATGATAAAGAAGTTTGCACAGAAAATTAGAGAGAGAGAGAGAGAGATTACACTGGGGAGAGGAAAAGGCCGAAGGAGATGATGTTCCCTGTCAAAAACAAAGCCTAAATAAAACTCAAGAAAATAATCATCAAACAAAAAATTATAGCAAAAATTAAAAAGCGTATATAATAAAGTAGAATATCTCTTCAGTCTTCACAAGTTCATTACTTAAATAATGAAGATATAAACGAATATTTTCAGTTCATGTTTACTTTAAATTAAAAAAAAAAAGAAATTAATTCAATTGAAACTGTTTATAATTTCTTCGTTTATTCGACTAAAAAGTAAAGAAAAAGATTATTGAAACACCGATCCTCATCGATGAAAAGCATAGAAACTTGTACTCAGACGACGAGTAAGCAAAGCACATTCAACTTACGTATAATACACCTCGCTGATCATGAATATCAACAAAAAAACAAAAGAAAAAGAAAACTCCAGATAAATTAAGCGGAGAGAAAGAGAGAGAGAGATACCGATAATGCCGACGACGTAACGAAAAGTTCCCATCTTTGAAAGCTTTAGCAGCAAAAAGAGAAGGACGAACACAGAGAGGGATCAGAGAGATATATAGAGATAGCTGTTTGAGGAATTAAAGGGTGAGAATGTGGATATATATATATATATAGGGAGAAAGAGGAAGGGTTTAAGTGGAATCGAATCGGCGTGGATAAGGTTTTACCATTTTAAACTAAAATTGTGATTTCCAAACAAGGAAATTAATTATCCCACCTCAATTCCTCTGTGCATGCACACTGCATGGCTTCCCACCGAGAAGCGGCGTCCTAACGGTTTCCCTAGTTTGTTGCGGCAAAATATTTAATTGGTGTCGACTTTCGATGGAAATTACCAAGACTGCCACTCTTATCCGAAAACATTGCGGATTATTAGGAAAGGCTCTCTGGATTTCCATGGTTTCACCAATAGAATCTTGCCATGTCACCATAGTCAACGATTTTTTGAATTAATAACGTTAAGTCACGTGTTAGATATTCGATTGCTGCTTTTGCTCTTTTATTAGTTTAGTGTCTGTTTGGTTTAATTTTTTTTTAATTTATTTATTTTTTAAAAATAAAAATCAAGTCTAATAAAATTTTTAATTTCTTTTAAAAAAATAGTTTTTTTAAATAATAAAATTTAAAAAAAATAAATTTTTCCTCTTCTCTTCTTTTAGTTTTTTTTTTTAAATATCTTTCTCAATCAACTTTTTGTTCCTCCTTTTCTCTTTGCAAATTATCATTTTATTTAAAATTTTTCTTTTCTTCACCAAAAATTATTTTAATGTTTAATACATGATTTTTTTCTTTTTTTTTTGGGAATTAAAGCATTATTGTCAATAAAAATATCATACTATTATTAGTATACAAGTTTAAGAGTTTTTTTTTTATAACCAATAAACCAAATACTCGGGTGCAAGTTTGAGAGTTGTTTGTTTATTTATGGATTTATTTGATTTTAACATTTAAAATTTTATATAAACTTAAAATGGTATAAATTAAATTAGAATTTATATAATTTATTTTATCAATCAATTTATCAAATAGTTTTAGTTTAATTTTAAAAATTATTATTATTAACAAGAATTTCAAAATAAAAAAAAGTTAAGCCAAATAAGCTCTTAATCTAACTAAAAAGGATTTTGAAGTGAAGTTGGATTATAATTAGGCTTCAACCGATAAAAGATTGATGAAAACTGGAACTACTACTTTTTTATTTTTATTATTAGCTAGTTCTTTATTTATTTATTATCATTATATTAGTTTCAATAATTAGTTGAGGTTGAGGGAATCAAATTTCATTTTTTTAAGAAAAAAAAACAAAGTTAGAATCTTTTAAAATGAAATAGAGATTGCACATATCATTCGGGAATGTTACAAAATCCAAAACATATGTTAGCATATCCAAAAAAATTCTTAAAATATTTAGAAAACTTTAAATAATTTTTTATTTTTCAATTATGCTCAATTAAACCTATATATTTTTAATTTAAACTAAATAAACTCTTATACTTCTCATTGTAATATAATTGCTCCATGAAGAGTATAGTTTTTTGTAAATTTACTATTGAGGAATGAAACAAGGTTGTTGCTTTTAAAAAAAAATAATCATATATTATTTTATGTCACATAATGTTAACATTGTATGTTAATATGTCATAACGATGATGACATGACATATTAATGTAATTCTTTTCACTCTCCATGTAAACGTTATATCCAAGTCAATGTAAAATGATAAGTGACATAAGATAATTAGTCAATCATTAATAAAAAAGGTCTATTTTGATTAAACGTAATACAAAAATAAATACTTATTTAAATTTTTTAAAATAATTTAAGAGTTTCTCTAAACATTATATCAAATATTTTTCATTTAGTAGAACCCCTACTTTTGTCGTAATGTTTGTTAATATCATTAATTTATATTAAAGATTATTGAGAAGTAGATGACATTGAAAAAGATTGCTTTTGAGTTTGGTTTGTATGATGAAAGAATGTGAACAATGAATATTCAACAAATTATTCATCCCTAATGAATACCAATAATAGGTTTGGTATGGAAAGAGATGGATGGTTATATATGTGATATGCAGACAACAACCCCATTTCATATAATGTTTATCATCATAATTACATTCATATTTGCAATATTTTTTTTTAATAATTGAGAAGGAATTCGAATTTTACTTTTTAAGTAAAAAATCACGCACTAATCAATGAATCAAATACTCGAATGCATATTCGTACTTACAATATATTATTAGTATATTTCCTTTATTTGAGCCTCAAAATGGTAAAAAATTAGATATGCCTCTATCCAGCTTCCATTGTCTCTCAACAAATCTTCAAAATACCCAGTTTTATTATGGGGAAAAATTATAGCAGGAGTCAGCAATGAAAACTTCTTTAACAAGCTTGTCATGGATTATTATACATCATTATGCATTGTTCACTTGCTGGTATCTGCATTGTTCTTTGCTTGGTGGTAAAGTTGCTGGCTCGGATATGTTATCACTTTCATTTGCTATGCGAAATGCTTCATCTGCTGCACACTACCCTCCATGGAGATATGCTCCAGTGTGAACATGGACGACATTTGACTCTCTTTGTTATGGTGTGACTCTACTTTTCAGGGACTTAATACTCTTATTTTGTACTTGCCCTTCTACCTATTCTGGTTCGTGTATGCTATTCGTTCTGATCTTGCTTATTTATTAGTTTGGATGCTTTTCTGTTTTGTGGCAGACTGCGAGTGTGTTTTTCTCTATCTGATCCCACCTTGTTGATCAGATTTGTATATCTATATCTATATATATATATATATATATATATATATATATACACACGTATATATGTGTGTATTGCTTTTTCCACAGAGTTCCAACTCCTCTGCATGATGAAACATCAAATCTTAACTTGAACACGATATTGTGATCCACTATTTCAATCTAAAAGAAACCTTAAAAACACTGGAAAGTCTTCACTATACACATTCGTATTATTTCTTTCCAGAAAGATTTGCTTTCACTTTTAATGCTTTAGATATCAATCAAACAGTTGGTCTAGCTCTAGCCGGTCCGTTGTTGTCGGAGAGTTGCAGCTCGGATGGCTTGACAACGACCTCATCGTCCTCATATTTCGGGGTAGAGTTGCAGTAGCAGGCATACAGAATCAACTGTATTGCTCCAGATAGGGCCCCCAATCCATTTCCAATCTACAAAAAGAGATAGAGGGCAAAGACATACATACCATCAAGTTAGCTTTCTAGGGATCACTTTTACATTTTATAAAGTTTCAACGAAACTCAAAGTTTACCAGGATGTAGAGATCAAAGCGAATGAGGGCATATGTTAACCAAATGACTCCATTGAGAAAGTTGGCCAAGGAGAGGTAAAACGGCATGTATTCCACACTCTTTGTCTTAATCACCCTCCTCTGTCCAATAGAAATGGAACACAAAACAAGAGAAAGATTGAAAGGCGAACAAGAGAAAGATATCAGTTAACTAATTGAATGTATAGGCAAAAAGAAAAGAAAAGAAAAGCATGGCTTACCATGATGGTAAGAGGTGAAGCATACATTAGGACTCCAAATATGACACAGAGGATCCCAACAAGAACAGATCTTTGGGCATGAGTTTTACGCAATAGCAATGTGCATGAGGCCACAACGCCCAAAAATGCAATCTCTAAGCAAAGCCACCCAATGACCTTGAGCTGATATTAGCTCTTCGGTTAGTAAAGTGGTGAAATCTTTAACCCCAGGATTAATGATGGTGATGGTGTACTTACTCGGCCTTTCTTCTGGGCATAAATGAAGAAGATGGTGAGAAAAATGAGCTCCATTGCAAGTCCAATGCTATTGATAGTGACCACAAGGGTGCTATCAGGATGAACAAGTGGTAAACCATATAATATCCATAACATGCAGTTCATTGCAGTTGCTATGTAAGGATCTGGTTTGAATTCCTCCACTGCTTTTCTCTTGTAGATGTTCACAAATGTTGGTCTGTATCAAAATAAAAATTTCAATTGTATTTAGATATATATACGTTGACAGCAACAACTGCAGCTGTAGATTGTCTTCTTTTCTCTTTGGCCTCTATTACACGGTCAGTGTCAAAAAACTTTTCCTTCTGCCCTGTTCCATAGCTCAGCATGGTCAAGTTCATTGGGGTTCGGCCTGGAATAAATTCAGGACAATGATCTGAAACGGAAAGGGTCTAGAACTGGGCCCTTCAGGACTAAAAGGTTAAAGGCCTTGAGCAGGCCTTTACTGGGAACACTACAGCAAAAGTTTGGCCTTTATATGAGTTCACCGAGTCGGCAAAGAAAGATCATTATTACTACTAAATTGGTTTTTTCTTGTAGAGGGGTACAAAAGTATTACTAGTAACTCCTACTTCCACATGTTCGACACTTTCATGCACATGACAAGTAATGTAGGAAGAATAAGATTTCACCTTCTTAACACACATATAAAACACACATAAAAAGGCTTGAGAGAAAGAGAGAGAGAGGATTTTACATTGGTGATGCAAACAGAAAGAATGAGATGACATTTCCTGCAAAATGAAATAGGACAATGAGAAATTAACGTCTCTAGAACCCAAAAACTTCATTTGTCTGAATTCAGGTATGTATCATATGACACAATTAACAACTCATTGATGTATAATGTTTTTCCCTTGATCACTCTCAAGAAACTACCCCAACTCAAAAACATGTGAAGAAATTTCCACTGCACTAGAAGAATAAGAGAAATATTGTACAGCATGAGCCTGGAATGTCATACAATCACTAAAACAGATGAGCTCAAAACTTCAAATAACTTACCAATGATCCCTACAATATTCCTTGCAACCTCAGCGCTAACCATCTTTGAGGCTACTTAGACAAAGGAGGAGGAAGAGTGCAAAAGGAAAATGACGAATCCAAGCAGCAGTACTTGTAAAATACAATATCAGGAAGTTATTGGCTGCTGAATTTATATGTATTACAACACAAAGAAAGAACGCAAAGACTCAGAATCTTTTCTAACTGAGAATTGTATAACTTAAGCTAAATTAGAATTTGGTTTGCTTTTATCGTTTATTCTACCAAGCCAAAATTTATATGATTAGAACTAAATGGCAATCTTTTGGCGGTATATGCAATCAAATGCAGTTGAGTTCACTGTAGCTATTGAAAGCAGCCAGCTAATTCCCTCCACATCATGCCATTCGAGTTGATGAAAATCATTGCCATACCGACTTTGGTCTGTTAACAGACCAAAGTTACTCCTCTAATGGGCAAGGTGGTACGCTTCTATTGGATAGAACAAAAACAGGAACAGATTAAGCTTGAAAAATATGCACAAATAATTAGCAATATCATATATTTGACGCTCATGGAAAAATGGGGTAAGGAGCAGTTTTGAGTTCAATTCTTCTTCTCAAAAAGGAAAGGCAAAAAGGGTAAGAGATAAATTGGATGGATAAAAAGAGGGAATACAAAATTGAATGTCAGATGAATATTTCATGGGAGGAAAGTTGTACAGTTTTACACACAGTGAATAGTGCACACTTTCCAGATGTTTCAGCATTAAGTAAATACTTTTGGAAGGTAAAGAACAAGATCAAAATGTATCGTGATCCTTTAATGATTTTATTGTTGGGGCCACTAGAATTTCGAGTACCTTCACTTCAACATTTCGAAGAAAAAAAGAAAACCCTTTGTGTCTCATTAATTTCACGTATTAAATGATGATAATGTGGACCAAAACTCACGCAAATCCCATGAATGGCCTCATGCTTTAACTTCAGGAACTTCCTAGCCATAGTTCTGGTAGCCTGGTTAGGCCTTGCATAAGCAGACGTGTTGTCCAGGCTAACTTCATATGAATGTCTAAGAATCCATGGACATGGTTATGAACAACATCAAGAAATGTAGCTGAATTACCTGTTATATCCTAGCTAGAACTTTTAATGAAATGCAGTTATCTATCATAGATAAAACCAGTGAAGATGTCTTAGTAAGATACCATTTTTAGAATCATTTACACATCCAATGCATCAGTTGATGGTAAATATGATGATTTAATTTGAATAAACTGAATGAAAACATTTCTTTAAACAGTAAGTTATAATTGTGACTGTGACATTCAATTGAAGCATTGAATTCTATGGTTTCTTGTGCTCTTTGTCTTGTCAAAAGTGACGTAATACATTGTGATTTGCAAGTAAAGGCATGGACAGTTCATCTTTGGGAGAGACTTGGAAACTCTCAATGTCAAGAATTATCAGCTGGACACGATTACCTTACGCGGCATAGCATGCTTGCCAAATTTCATTTCAGATTGAGTTCACATCTGATTCCAATTATCCTTTTGGGAAAATTATGCCTTCCGTTATATCCTGACTCAAGTTAAAAGCTAGGCATCTATTGAGCCTGGCAAAAAGATTCTTGATAAGCTCAAGCAACCTCAAATATTGACCATACATGGCGGAAGTTGAAGATTCCCAGCATTTGCAGCTGCTACATGTTATACCCTGGATGGTGGTGAAGTGTTGCGTATCGTCTAGGACTTACCTGTTCCTGGCATATTAAATGAACTTTAGATTTCACAGGTTTCTTGGTCTCCTACCTACGTCCCTGTTTGCCCACTTTATTTCCCAAGGTTAATCGCTTCTCTTCTGTTTCATGTCATTATCTGATCTTTGTTTCAAGTGATTGTCTTATATATCTTCAAGATTTTCATTGACTTAAAGTCATGGTTTGTGAGTAAACCAACACATTAAGGAATTGAAGTCACTAAGGGATAATACTCACCAGCCATAATAATTGATGTATTAGTGCTATCAAACTTTTCTTGAGTCTTCCATTTTGGTTCAATTACCTTTTGACTGGATTTATTGCTCTTTTTTCCGGATTCATACTTAAGGCAGGTTTGACCCAACCCAGATCATACTGCTTCAAGTTGATTCCACTAGACATACAATCACCTTTCTATACTATTTTAGCCTCATTTCCTATTTTATTTTTAAATTAAATTTCAACCATGTGGATGCTTACGTGGTGATAATAGGTCAAGACAAGTGCATGTCTATATGTGCAAAAAATAAAAATGGATTGGTTTGATTTTTATATTTAATAAAAGGTATTTTTTATTTTCATGACACTACCAATGTTGCAAGATGAAATGAAGTAGTTCATGGAATGTAGTGTGCTTTACATTTAAGGTGTTATAATTATGAGATCTTTATTATATTAAAATATAAATTTTTATATTGTTTTTAGTAAATATTTTATTAAAAAAAATGGATATTGATAAAATTAAGAAATTGGAATATGGTTTTTTTTACACTCATGAAATGAGCAATTAAACTCCTAAATTGAAGTATGGAAATACTTAACGAATACGTGAGTGCTTAGTACAAGAAAAAATCTGTTGAATATAACCTTTCATATTGAGAACCCTATTTGGCATATTCAGTCTAGCATATATAGAAAAAAAAATTCTTATGTAATGGTCGTGTAAGTGATCATTAGACTTGAAATTACTGGATTACCTTAAGTGCGTGGAATGTTTTTCTTTGATACTGTCTAAAATGGTCTTAGTCAAGGATATTCAAAAAAGAATAGATATTGAGTCTAGTATGAAACACATGAAGGAAAATTAATAATTAATAGAGGATTCATCATTTTAAATGAATCTAAAGAGAATGTCCGATTGTAATTTTAAAAGTAATAACTTAAGGAAAGATTAATTTGACTAAAGCAACTAGAGATGTCGACAAAGTGGTTTGTGCACTCTAATGATGGGTTTGATTATTGGATTCAAGTGTTAATATGACATAGACAAGATATAGTAGACATTGCACCATACTCTATATTTTATCGAAATATTAAATGATGAAAGGATAATAATTACACAACAAGATTGTATACCGAAAGGTTGAGTCAAACTACTATAACTCTTCTTAATATTTGAGTAGTCACAATGTTTTGCTAGATTCTAATCTTAACTTATAAATGTAAACTAATCAATTAAGGAACTAATGGTAAATGTAAAGGAATTTGATTCATTGATCTAATCCTAGTTCACCTTTGATTATAATTTTCATATCTTGCAAATATGTTAAAAATCAAATAAGTCACACGTATTAAAAAATAATAATTGAAAATAAAAAAAAAAGAAAAAAGAAATTGAATTTAATTGAATAATTCAACTTAGTCGACAGACAATTTTACTATTAGTGTAAAAGTTATGCAAATTCTAGATATGAGAGGCCTGCAACACATCCAAAGCCCTTGTTCTTCCTCCTCTCTTCTGACCTTTTTTGATGTCTGGAATTAGTATTTTTTTTTATTACTCTTTGCTGAATCTTTTTTGATCACCATATATATATCCCCAATCAACACACAAGTCTCAAAGGAATATAATTATTTCCAAAACAGTCACCAGCCAAGAAGACCAATACCATGTATAAAAATTTATCTGATTTCATTTATTTTAAATTTCAACATCTATAATAATATTAAAATCTAATAATTTACACTGTACAAATACCTAATAAATAGTTTGTTTGTCTTCTGAGTAGGAACAAAGAAAAGAACATATGTGAGCATGCCAGGTACAACTGAATAGATCAAGTAATTAGAAGCCAATCCAGCTATTGTGTCCTCCAACAACTCCCGAATATCAAAGATTTCCACCCTGCCAAGAAACCCAACATGACCCTTTTTGAAGCTTTAAACAAGCCTGGGCTTACAAGGAGATAGTAATTGATAAGCTAACTGAGCTAGCCAGCTCCAATATGTTGACTTTACTTTAAAGAGTTTAGGTCCAGAGCACCTACTACTCTCCTCTAACTCACTTTAGCCCAACCCAGTTTACATTCCCTCAACAGGTTGTTTTCCCTCAAAAGTACATGGCAGAGGAAACAAAAGCCCATTATACCAACAGTTGAAGACAGCATTCTATTTTTTATGATGCTTAATATTTAAACAAAATTTTAGATAATTATGAATGTTCTGATTTATTCAATGTAAAAATCAATCATTTTTATTGGTGAATGTAAGTGATTTATATTGAAAATTTGAACATATACATCAAAATAAAATCATGTCGTACATTGTTGGATAAGACATAATCAATTATTAAAAGATTTTAAAGATAATTGTATTTCCGTGTATATTATTGTACGCGCAATGCGCACGCATGGGTAAGAATAATATGCTATCATCTCTAAAGATTTAAAATTGAATAGTCAATGACCAACATTATTCTTTTAAAGCTTCTTAAAAAGTTGATGTTTGATTATACCATAGTGGACTGGATGAGAAGAGAAACAACGAGAGAGAGAGAGAGACTAGTTATGCAGACAAAGACACAAGTATGGCTAAATTTCAAGTGACAGATAGTCACAGTATTCTTGGCATTTGTTAAAAAGAAAAGAAAAGAAAAGAAAGGAGGAAAGTAGCAGCACTACCTTATGCTCCCACTTTATCATCACTCTTTTATTAGCCAACATATTGAAACACACATTCTCTCAAAAACATATCTCAAAAGCATTGTTCCTTCTCTCAGGTGCTGCCTTGCCTTTCTTCACATATTGCTTTTCAATCTTTCCCTTTCTACCCCATTGTGGTTTCCAAGTCTAACCCTTCTTTGTCATCCTTACCCCTTTTTTAATAAAGCCAAATAAAGGACAAAAAAAAAGAAGTAAATACAATCTCTCAAAAACCCTTTTTTTAAGTAAAAAAGATACCATCATTTTTAGCCCTTCTGCCTTAGTTGTGAAGGAATTCAATAGCAAAAGCAACTCTTCTTTCTCTCCTATGTGATGGAGAATTTGGTATATGTTTAAAACAAGAAGATATTCTCTCAAAATGAACCTTGATCACAAATGTGCTTGATTCTTATACTTGAGAACTAGTTCAAGAAATTTCAAGATAGACAGTGTAATTGCTATTGATTCTTGTAGATGATGATCGATGCTAACTTTCTATAATGGAACCAGACTGCTTCAATGGGATTCAAAGGTGCTTGATTAACAATTAAGACACAGTTAATTCTTATCTTTTTTGTTTAAGTTTCATTGCTATTTGATGATTTGAGAAAGATTAAACTCAACTAAAAAGAATAAATATTCCAAGACAAGTGCATAGGGACTATTGGTTGGTGTTAAGTGCAATGCAAGAGAGTAAAGTAATGATATGTTTCCTTGATTCCATTAGTTGAGTGAGAAATTATGCTTAGTGTAGTGGAAGAGAATAAAAAGCCTGATAAAGGGTTGGAGATGGCAACAAATCCTGCCTAAAAAGATGCTTTGGGCATTGTTATCTTTTGGGGAGAAGAGAAACCCACTCCTTCTTAGGATGGGAACTCTTATTTTAGTCTTCTAATTAAAATTTTCTTCTTTTTTTTTGGGGGGGGGGGGGGGTGCATGTTTATTCCTTTTAATGGGTGATGATAGATCTTCCCACATTACTAGCCATTGGGAGACAACTGGCCAACACATGGGAAAATGGCTATATTATTTATCTTTTTATTTATTCTTAAACCAAGTTTAAAATATTTATAAGTGTCACTTAGATCTTCAAGTTCCTGGATATATGCAAGTACCATGTACCAAAATGAAAAATAATTGCTCTTACTTATAAGCTAATGTTCCTTAATTTGATCTACACTTGATGAAGTAAAAGTTTTTTTTATTTACCCAAAATTCACATGAAGGGAATCTTGGGAAATTAATCAATGGAAATTTTTTAATTCTTTTATTCGCCTAAAATATTTGCCCAAAATTCCCTTTGACATTCAAATATTTTAATAAAGCATGAGAGATGACTTCAATTCCAAAGTATATGTAGCATAAGAGAAGCCAATAAATTGAAATGTAAATCAATGACATCAATTGATAAGGAAATTTGAGGTATTAATATTAAATCACTCTTTTCTTTTATCATCCCACAAAATAAGATGTAGTTGACCAAAATTTTAATAACAATAATAATAATAATAATAACAACAACAATATTCTTTAAATATGATTTTTTTGTTTACTTTAATTATATGGTTATGTGCTTTCTTATTTCTTTTTTCATCCCACTACTTCCCAAAAGAAAGTTTTGATTCTCTGGGTCCCTTTGCCATGGTTCCCTACTCTTAAGTTTAATTGCCTGGGTGAGGGAATAACACACATGATAACTATCCAATAGCTTCATCTTCATGAATCTCCCTCTTCCCTTTTTCCCCATATATATATATATATAAATATATATATATATATATATATATGCAAGAACACCAATTATCCCCTATTTTGGCATTAATTTTTCATCTTTTTTATTTTTCTAATTAGACCCTAAATTTTTTTCCCTAAATCAAACACAAAATTATAATATACTTCTAATAAAAGATATTAATCATTAACAAGCACAACAAATAAATTGACATAAAGTTAAATAAAACTTACATATAATAGGACTCAATCTTAAAACTTAAATGATTATCGATAAAACGAAAGATGATTTTTGGCGGATTGCATAAAAGTTTTAAGTTTTATATATTTATGAATTTTTTTTGAATAAATATATATTTATTAATTTTATTCATGTGGGTTTGTATAATGTTGTCGGACTATAGTATGGTTGGAGCATTTAAATACAAAGTAAACTAAAGGTATAATACAGTTAATGGTATAGTTGGACTTTTTTTTTATATAATTTAAACTTTAATGCTTGCCACATATCTCTTTGATACAATGTATATTTTCTGCTGACTTATTGCTGAAGTATTTATGAAAGAAATTTAGGGGAACTAAAGCAATTTATACTATTCAAACCCAATTCCAAATTGAATATTAATTGTAATTAAATAACTAAAAATTTGGAGAATTTTTTTTTTTTGTATATTAAATTGATCAAAGTGATAGTGGATGGATGCACTAGCTAGGCAAACTTGGGAGCCAACCATCTAATCAGACTCGAGGTAAGTGAGAACACATGTTTGTGGCACTATCTCAAGGTTTTCATAGTGTTTGCATTTGCACAATCATAGGTCAACAAATGCTTATTTATTCTACTTTATAACAATATTCTTGTATTATATAATCCATTAGATATCATTATCATGATGGAAACCTTTGTAAGCCCAAAGATAATTTACCTCTCTAGTTTTCATGACCCATCAAATTAAAAAGAACATGTCAAGGATAACCCCCCTTTTTGTTTTTCCTTAGGGAAAAATTTAATATAGTTTCAACTCTCATCTCCTAGCCACACATAGTTTCCATTACATAAGCAAATATATTGTGTTTCCATGCATCAAGAGGTGACCTAATGTTTTCTTGAACATTTTTCTTATAAAAATATATATGTGGTTGTACAAGGTTTCTTTTTCTTTTAATTAGTTGAAGAGAGAATGGAACTTAGTGGAACTAGGGCTTTTTTAACTAGTATTGAATTGAATATGCATCATGCATGATTCTTTTGTTTTATAAAGTGCTTGGCACTATGGTACCCAAAATATGTGTATGGAAATGCATTACAATAAGAAGACAATAGTGTCCAACCCTTTGAACAGCAAAGCCATCATATGATTAGTCATCCATTGTCACAAATTCCAAGCCCCACCATGTGATTATATGAGACATCTCATTGTCTCATCATATTAAGCTAGCTAATACTCTGTTCACCCTATTACAAAATTATAGGGTGTTTTAATACTTACAAAAAACTATTATTAGTGATGATTTAAGATTGTCGTATTCGATTTGATTTTATTTAAATGTGGTAAATCATTACGGATTAGATATCACTGTATTTGGTATTACATAAAAATCAGATATTGTTTTGTATAAAAAATATCAAAATAACCTTGCTTTAAAAGTTATAATAAAGTAAGAACTTTAGTATTGTATTAATATAACAATTTGTGAAATATTATATTTTATTTCTTAAATATGTTATAATTTAATGATATCAAATACTTAGATATGAAAAATACATTTATTTTTGATCAATTAACTTTTAACTTCTTAAATTAGATGGAAAAACTTTTGAATGAGAAAAGTATATATTTATCGCAATAATAATGAATTTGCTATCGAAACAAATATGAAGTATAACTCATTATGTAAAATTTATTTTATTTTGGAAAATAGCAAGTTCTTTATGTATGTTTTAAATGATAAAATCATCCATAATTAATTTTACTAATAGCGTTTCACTCTTTTAGATGAGAATTAAATCATTTCTCGAAACAATGAATTAATCACTCTTAATAATCTAAAACCACTCAATCTCGTAAAACATCAAATTCCTATCAAATAAAGTGATCTAATTATCTAATGTAAATCATCATAAATTTTAAAATAGTCCTCAAACCAAACACCAACTTAGAAATAGAAGTTGAATAAGATTTCTTTTTCCATTTTTTCTCTTCTTTCTTTCCTCCTTTTCATAGTCCCAACCAAACAAGCCTTAACGCCGTACTAAAAGAAATAAATAAAAGCAAGAATGATGAAATAATCTTTACAGTTAAATATAGGGAGAATCACAGCCGTTAATAGCACCCCATCAAGATTGAGTCAACTAGATCCGACAGTCTCCCCGACCGTAAAGCATGGACCCTATAAAACACTCTGGCACAAACTACTACACCCCACAGATCGCATCACAGCCGTCAACACAAAAATATTCAAATCCGACGGTTAAGGTCTGTCCAGCGGCAGCTCCTCCAAAGCCTATGCCTAGAAAATGATCACCCCAAATTACTGAAAAAGCCCCAGCTTCTGCATAGATAACATCGATTTGCAAGGGCATTCTCGTTAATCGACATACCAACGTCACTATAAAAGATCGTCAGCCTCCTCTCGACGAACCTTTAGCTGCAAAAAACACCTAGAAGCGACACTAAGAATTCTTCTTCTTCTTCTTCTTCTTCTTCTTCTTCTTCTTCCTCTTATCTCTTTCTCTTCCCTTCCGCCATAGCCAAAGCTTCGTCCCCCACCACTAAAACAGCATCGAAAACAAGTTTGAGAGTCTCAAAAGATTAGGTTGCGATAATGGAAAACTAGGTTTCCCTTATCGCTCTAAAATTGCGTCCATTAGAATTTTCATTTCTGCAGGCTTCTTGTTCCACAGGGTGATCATCGTAGGGGGAGCAATAACACCAGTGGTGTGATGGGATTTTGTATTTGTCCCTTGGAGACACCAGCAAGGTTGCTGTGGACTACTAGTTTCTTTCGCCATAAGCTTATGATCTTCTAATCCACACCAAAAAGATAAATAAAAACACAGGGATTTTCTGTGTAAAAGATCTTACTTGTTTCTTAAGTTATACAACATAATTTTTGGTGTCTTTGGCCGACGAAAAAGTCTAGACACCAATTTACACACTACACGTACACACCTAGATAGAAGTGCGAGAAAGAGAAGAAACACAGAAGGTATAAAGATGGAGTCGGGCCGTCTTTTCTTCAATTCCTCCACATGCCACGGCAACATGTTGTTCCTGGGGAACAGTGACCCCGTCTTTCGAGGTGATTTTTCTGTTTTTCTTCTGTCTTATGTTTTAGTTTATTTGAGTTGGGCTATAGACTTATGGATGATTTTGTGACATGTAAAGGGGCAAGAACGATGATTAGCATGGAGGAAACCTCAAAGAGACGACCCTTTTTCAGCTCGCCGGAGGACATGTATGATGAGGAGTACTACGACGAGCAGTTGCCGGAGAAAAAGCGCCGCCTTACGGCAGAGCAGGTGAGTTAATGATAGCTTGTGAAGTCTCGAGTCATTTTTCATTTGTCAACATGCATGCTTAATTAGTGGATACGGTACGATTATGAACGTATATATTCCACCACCTTTTTAAGATTTGAAGAATCTAACACCATATCAGAATCAAGTTCTCTTATATTTGGGTTCTAGTTTGAGAGATTGTAGAGAATCATTTTGAAAGAGATTAGAAAACATGGGAATTTGATGAGAGTGATGATGTTGTATTATGAATTCAGGTGCATCTGCTCGAGAAGAGCTTTGAGACAGAGAACAAGCTGGAGCCAGAGAGAAAGACCCAGTTGGCTAAGAAGCTAGGGCTGCAGCCAAGGCAGGTGGCCGTGTGGTTCCAGAACCGCCGTGCTAGGTGGAAGACAAAGCAGCTTGAAAGGGACTATGATCTCCTCAAATCTTCTTATGATTCCCTTGTGTCAAATTACGACTCTATTGTCAAGGAGAACGAGAAGCTGAAATCTGAGGTACTTCCTCACCTTTAATATCCCATGTTTTCATGTAGTAACATGTACCTATAAGTCATTAGATGCTGCTATATTTACAAGGAAAGTATTAATTAGACGAGACTCCAATCTGGATCTCAAATTCCCAATACTTGTATATTACCATTGGGATTGTCTGAGCAAGTTAAGAAGGAACAAGACAAGAGCTGATGCAATTTGGGCTACGGAGCGTACCACTGAGTTGATCATATTCTTGGAGGACACGTGGCCCGGGAGGATTGGATATTTGCATGTAGTGGGTCCTAAGGAGATTTGACTTCATAAAACAAGGACGTGTGTTTTGTTAATATAGCACCTGTTCCAAACGCCAGCTTGACAGTTTTAAGAGGAAACTAAAAGAAGAATATACCTTTGGTAGCTTCCTCACAATATGCTACGGACTCCTTGGCTACAAGATGAGAAAGCTTGCGTAGCACCAACCCATATTATATTATTATAACTTTGTCACACTTGGGTAAGCTTACTTAGCAAACAAGCATATCTCAACGACCCCAACAAGTAATCTCCAATGTCCCCACCTTTCCATAAAATAACAAATTTATGATATCATATAATTGGTTTACAGAATTAATTAGGGACAATTCAACAATTTGACCACGTTTACTTTTACTGTTTGCACTCTGTAGGTGGCTTCCTTGACTGAGAAGTTACAAGCCAAAGATGCAACAGCAGAACCGGTAATAGGTCAAAAGCCTGAACCCGTCCCAGCGGACATGGTTTCCTCCCTCCAATTCAGTGTGAAGGTTGAGGACCGCCTGAGTACCGGTAGTGCTGGGAGCGCAGTGGTCGATGAGGATGCCCCACAGCTCCTGGACAGCGGTGATTCATACTTTCCAAGTGATGGATACCCCGGAGGATGTGTTGGCCCTGTCAATGGGGTCCAATCGGAGGAGGAGGACGGCAGTGATGATGGCCGCAGTTACTTCTCCAATGTGTTCACGGCCTCGGAGGAGCAGCAGCAGCATGAAGAATCATTAGGATGGTGGGTCTGGTCCTAAATGACCCCTTTAATAATATCTGTACTATTTTAATAGTATATGATGCTCTAAGACTACATATGAGAACCCCTATATATGGGGAAAAGCATATGAATAAAATTTGTTTTGACTTCTTTTTGAGCTTGTAATATTCCTCCATTTAAAGCGACATAGGCACGAACAAACAGAAGGAAAAATTATTTGCAGTCTTGGCACAAGTAACTCATCAAGAATCCAAGCCCATAATAAAACAATCTGGAATCTCAAATAAACATAAAGCTTGGTCTCGCTCTAGTGTAAAGAAGAGAAATGATCACTTCATACCAGAAATGAAATCAATAATTGGACATAGACTTTGCCCTTCAATACCTGACATTCAAACTCTATTGATCAAATATCTAATTTATCAAGAAGCCACTTAGATCAAGGCTAGAAACCAACACTACCCTACAAAAGCTGTGCCAGGACATGAAAGATGACGCTATCAAGCAAGAGCTACTAGTTTTGACAGTGAACTGACTGCAACAGAAGAGGAGATATCAAGACATAAAGATTGAAGACCATCCTACCAAAGTGACATTTGACATGTTTAGAGTCAAATATCTTTTTCTAACATGGGCTCCCAACGTCCACTCAATGATGACAGTTCATGTGAAGCGGCACAATCCCACCTCACAAATCAACCACTTGCATACAAACTTTATAAGAATCTGTTCTTTCCCACTTCCAACTTTCTTTTCCATCTTACATTCTCACTCCATAGCATATGTGCACTTTGACTATATTCCCAACATTGTAGCTTTAGAGTTTTCAATTGATAAAACATTAGCCACAATTACTCAATCCTATAGTGGGGTGTCTTTCTTCCTTCTTTACTATTTTCTTTTTTCTAGTGTTGCTTGGACTTTGCAGTAAGTATGCAATGCCCAATGAAGTCGCTGCTACATTCAGAAAAATCTATAGCAAATCTATACAGATATAATTAGGATCAGAAATCTTAGTGAGGTAGACAACCCTGGCATCTTAATAAATCAAATACCAGAAAGTTAAAAGGGGAAGGGGGGAAATCACATTCTATATTGCTCGTGCTATCAACAGATTGCAGACCTGGAATGAGTACAATACCACATTATCAATCTCATCAGACCCCAAAAAAGGGGAATTCCTATTCCCAGACACATTAGTAACCCATGAAACAGGGCCTGATGCCCACATGGCCACACCAAACCATACACGAACCTGCAGTTCCACAGTTTACGTAATCTATAATAACATAACTAAACACCCCACCCAACCCGTGCCTCTTTCTTTTCCAATAAAAAAAGGTAAAACCAGGAGCTAAGAGAAGCAAAAGAATGATAATTGTTAGGACAAAACAATGCGTGGTAGAAATTAAATGTCCATCAAAGTTGTGAAATCCTAAAATGCCAAATTATTTGTGCCAAAAGAAGCATTGTGGAACAGGAAATTACCTGTATCAACATGCCAATGCAGGCTATGGCATTGTCCTACAAGCACTGACCATCTGAACCCCGTGATCCAGCAATATTCCTAGAGGGAAAAGGCAGTATGAAAGCAACTTTCTTTCCAAACAAAGCAACCTCCATTTCGGGCCAGTTGGCAGTCAGATAAGGCATCAAGATTAACTTGAAATAATTAGCCAATAATAAATAGCATTTAGAAGGCAAGCGTTGAAGATTAGGCATTATTCAAATAGCACAGCCGCCAGCACCTAATGCCAGCTTCATGAAAGCTCATTCCACACAGAAAACAAAATAAAAAAACCTCAACATATAAGGACAGAATGACAAAGGCATAAAGTCTCATTCTTCAGAGTTACTCTGGCACATCTGTGGAACACCAGATGGAAATCAAAAGGGTAGAGAGAGAGAGACAGAGAGAGGGAGGGAGAGGGAGAGAAACAAAGAGAGATGTATAAAGAATGAAATATTGCCTACACCTGCTCAACTTCAACACTGATCCGTTTCTTTCTTTTTTTTTCCTTTTTCGTTTTACATTAATTCATGTTGTATATGTATATAAATCTTGCTCTTTGTGGCAAAAACCCTTCTGCTTCCCAAGAAAGTAAATCCAAAAGATACAGCAGAAATCAGTCCAAAATTGGATGCATTCTCACTTATCATCCTGGTGCTTCCAACACCATTGGCACATCTATGAATTCTGAATCAAAGCATCCAAGTTAGCATGTTAGCCTTATCAATATATACACGAGGCAATGGCAGCAGAACTCTAGGTCCAAACAGTCAGGCCCAACCTGAACCAGCAAACCCAACATTTTAGTTCTGATTCTAGGACCCTCTGATATTCCTGTGACACATTCCTGCCACCAGCTTCCCTTGCCACAGGGATCAATTTTCATTGAAATAAGATCCTCTCAGATTTGAAAATCCTAGTTGACAGAGATCAACCCTCTGGTTCCTTCCTTTTCTTGCTAGTCTTCCTGCTCACCTTGCACTTCTCTGCCAGGTCCAAGTTGGGAAGCAACTTTGGGTCTGGTATGCTGCTGGGCTTCATGTTGTCAATTGAATGGAACTCATATGATTTTTCATAAACAATGGCTGAATCAAGGGAGTATATACGTAGGGCCAGAGAAGACATGGTGGAAATTTTCACAGCAGCAGATAGCGATGACCAATACCACCATTCATTCCTCAAGTACTCAGTCTTAATCATGTCCTCCAATACAATTGTTGCTTGGACCATCTGAAAAGACAAGAGGATATTATCTCCAATCCCACCAAATCCATGAAGTTAAGAAATAAAACTGATTTCAAAGCAAAAACTTTTAACTTCTCATCAGTTCTTACAGCAAAGATTAATCCAAAAGGAACTATTAATTCAGTTCATGCATCATAAAGTGGTAGACCATAAATAAGTTAATCAGACACAGCAAAGTGGAAAGATCACTTGAAAGTAAACTAACATTACATCAGATAAAAGTTAGCGGCACAACCTGCTATTACTCTTAAAGAATTAGGGAACTATCCAACCCACTACAAGATGCTACATAAAGAATGTGAAAGAATTAGTTCACTACCAGTTTAGGAGAAGTAAAATGTGGTCAGTGATGAATGGTGGTTACAATTTACAAGTGTACTAACTACTAAAAGAAAGCACAAGGGATCAAGATCAACCTCATATATTGTTTCTGCAGATTTAACAAATGAACGCCAGGCCCATCTCCTTTCCATATATGCCTTTGATGGTCTCAAAGCTTCTTCAGAGAGTGCAGCATCCATATCAAGTAAATTAATCTTCAGTTGCCTTGAAATCTGTGAAACTTTACCGACTAAGGGCCTTAATGAAGATTGAGGGACAACACAGCAGCGACCAATACCCAGTTCAGGAGAATACTTATCTGCAGAGGATATTCTATCCCTTTGTTCCAAACATCTCAAAGCCGGTCTTAAGGTCTTTTGTATTTCAATCTCATTTGCCACAGATCTTCTGAAAGGATTGTCAGATAAGCCTTCATTGATTCCATTAGCCACACTCCTGTTTCCTTGTGAAAAACCAGGTATCTCAATAGCCTTCAACTTATCCCCTAAATCTCCTCTTTCTTGGTGAGGACGAACAGTCATTAGTGTAGAGTCACTAACAAAATGACTATCAGATGAGACAAACGATGGTACCCCATTTGACCCAATAAGACCTATTTCCCGCACTAATTCTTCATTAGAATCTCTCGTCACAAATTTGGTGCTGATCTCTTCAAAGTTATATGGACAAACTACCCCTTCATTTTGAAACTTAATCAACCTCGAGCTCAAGTTGGAATGCCCACTTTTAGAAGTTTCAACAATTTCCATGTCAACAGTGCAATCTACCCGATTAATATCAATATTCATATTCCCCTTTCCTTTTAAAGAAACACCAACTGACATGCTCTTCTCATTCAATGGTGAACCCAGATTGCACTTACCATCATTATGATCCTCAAATTCGACATCACTAAAAAATGTCTTGTGGCAACAGATGCAATGATTTCTGGAGGGCCAAATGGGCTCTAAGCATTTACACCTATACATTTTATCTTCATTAATCACCCTCGCCTTTTTTCCCCTCTTCTTCAAAGAATCCGTTATTTCTGACTCAAAGCAGGGACCATATTTCTTCTCCAATAACATTGCTGCCTTAGTACCAAGAAAACTCGAAAATGAACCTTTATCAGAACCATTGGACATTGAAAAAGTAGCATGGCCCTCATCCTGATCTTGTTTTTTCATTTTTTGGTAATCCTGGAACTTTAGCTTCTGCAAAATAGCCTCTTTCAGCTCTTTTTCTTTTGGTTCATTATCATTCAACCAATCAATGAGTCCTTCAATTTCTGCCTCTGTTTGATAAGTAACCCACGGTGAACCAACTGAAATAGCATCTTTGGAATTGTACAGAAACGGACAGGAAGCCTTGGACCCCTCTGCCTTCATACCATTATCTGTGCCAGCAGAAGCAGAATTCCAGATAAAAGTGTTCTGCACTCGCTCCTCGTAGCCCAAAATATTTCTTTTCTTCTGCAACACCAAACTTCCATCAACGATAACCTGGGGACATCCACCTGGCATGGCTGAAATCCAGTACAGCCGGCCAGTAGAATCACTTCCCAAAAACTCCTTCCGTACAGATAGCTTCAAAAGCTGTGATTCTAAGCTGGTAATTAAGTCCTGCAGACATTGGATGTCATTCTTGATGGTGTTCAACTCAAGGTGATGAGATCGTGACTCATTCTCAGTAACAGAAGGCACTTGCTTAGCAGCATCAGATGGCAGACACTGTCCATTACAATCTGAAGGAGATGGTGGAGAAGCCACATCCATTCTCTTAGACTCTTCCAATTTACCCTGGAAACTGGTTTCTTTGCTTGAGTTCTCAATTTCTTGGGACAAATCATTTGGAACGAGCAACTCACTTGGTCTAAAGGATTTATCACTTTTTTGAGAAGATACTTTGCTAGCATCCACAATAGCCTGATCACCCTTTAACGGAGCCTCAGTATCCATAGGATTCAAAATTTCACCATTAGTGGCAAACTTTTTCTCTGTATAAGTAGCAGATGCATATTTATTTGAACCATTAAGGTCAGCACCCTCTTTCCCACCATCTGATGGAAGCCGATCATCACC